GGTAACAGGCTCCGCAAGGGCTATATCTAAGAAAATTAGTTGTGCATGGCATCGTGCTTTAATGCAAACTGCTGGAACTCCCGCACCGTAATTAAAAATTCGAGTAATAAAAATAATCAATAACTGTTTTAAATAATTTCAAATAGATTATCTTCTATATATATATAAAAATAAGTCGGGTTTTCCTTCCTGATGAAATAACTCCAGAACGCACAAAACGATTTCGTTTCGTTTATAGCTAAGAAAATTAGTTGAAAATTTGCGAATTAATTATGGATTCACTTTCATTTACTTAGAGAAGTTCAACTAAAAAATACTTCATTTTTGTAATCGAAATAAATTCATTACTGTTGTATAATAAAATTAAATTTTTCCTTTTCAAATTTAAAACAAACAAAAAATTTCTTCATCTTTCTCACTCTCCCAGATGGTTTATCTGGTGGCGAAACGGAGTTCGTCGGGTTTGCTAGTATATATATATATAAATATATATATATATATATATATATATATATATATATATGAGTGTGAGTGTGTATGTGTAATCGAAACATATTAAGAAATTTTATTTTTATTGACTATAAACATATAATTACTTCAGCTGTTTTTCATATTAGTATTGATTTACTGTTAAGCATTATAGTTCATAAAATTATAATATCAATTGCCATTCAATTTGAACGTAATTAGTTTATATATATATATATATATATATATATATATATATTTGTATAATTAATTGATGTGGTCCTCTATAAATACATTCAACAATTTTAATTGACTATAAATGAATAATTACTTTGCTTGTTTTCCTGTTAGTATTGATTGACCGATAAGCACTATCGTTAATAAAATTATATAATTTCAATTTCTATTCAATATGAAGGTGATTAGTACATATATATATATATATATATATATATATATATATATATATACCATATATTGTTCATTTTGATATCTATGGGAAAGCATGATGATGGAACGTAACTAGTTCCGAAACGTCGCAAATACATACCAGTTTCTAAAAACTGTTTTTAATAGGATTTACTGTTCAGGGATTATTAGTTTTTTTCATTTATAATTATTTACATTTCGGGGATTTGGAATGTCCCTTAGAAACTTTGAATTATTGAAACCTTAGTCTTTTTATTTGCCACTCGCTAAAAATCAAATTGTATATTCACTAAAAATTGTAATTGGAATATCTGGTATACATATTTGGTTTTACCAAAGACTGTTTGAATATTATTTAAAATATTGATTATTTTTAATAATATTTAAAAAATAAATATATTTTTAAGAAGTAAGAAAGCTCTTGGTTCAGGAAGGTAAGGGAGTATATTTTCTATGAGAGATATTTTTAGTGACTACACAACTTAATTTTTAGTGAGTGTTTCATCAGAAAAAAATAGGTTTAGTAAGTCAAAGTTCCTGAAGAAGGAGAAACTTAGAATTATTGAAACCTAAGTCTTTATTAAACACTCGCTGAAATAAAATTGTATATTCAATAAAAATTATAATTGAAACATATTTGGTTTTACGAAAGACTGTTTAAATATTATTTAAAATAATAATTATTAATAATATCAATAAAATATAAATATATTTTTAAGAAGTTAGGAAGCTCTTACAATTAGTTAACAAAAATAAGGGAGTAATATTTTTTATATGGAAGAAATTTTAGTGACTACATAATAAAATTTTTAGTAAGTATTTTATTAAAAAAATAAGTTTAGTGAGTCAAAGTTCCTAAAGAAGAAGACAATCCGCATCCCTGAAGCGTAGGAAAAAATATAAATAAAAAATTAAATTAATAAAATTTTGTGAGCAAGAAGGAGCCTTTTTTGAATAATAAAATCGCTAATAATAATAGCTATCCAAAAAATACAAATTTATATCATAATTTACAAATTCCTGACAGCAAAGATTTTGCTGGTAGAAATAGAATCTGTTACATTTCAACATTTTAGAGAATTTTCTCCTTCGGATGCAGTAATGAAGTTATTCGTTGATATGTTGCGGTTATCCTTGCCGCTGCAAGATGTAACAAATGGAAACCGTTTCTGGCATTTTGCCAATGATTCTTATATATTAACGTAAATACTTCTACAAATTATATAACTAGAAGTGTATGAATAATGCATGCCCCTGAAAGAAAGGTGACCATATTTTTGCATGAAAACCGGGACGGATTATAATGTGTGGGAGAGCGGAGGGGAGGGGGTTGGTGAGGTAAAAATTTATATGCACATTTTTTTGGTTCGAATTTTCTAGTTGAAATGTATAATATTTAAAAAAAATTTGGCAATCAAGACATTTTCAAAAATCCCGGACAATCCGGCACAAAACACCTAAAACCGGGACAAATATTGCTTTTAGAAAAAGCCGGGACGCAAGGCCGAAAATCGGGACTGTCCCGGCCAATCCGGGACGTATGGTCACCTTACTGAAAGGCAGCTCTCAGATACATGAAGCTCTTAGTAAAATATTAAATAATATTATAATTGTCGTTGTATAAGTTGTTAACTCAGATTTCTGAAAAGTTTAGGGCTCCTCCGTGAGCGCCGAGGCATCAGCCTCGCATATCTTTCACCTCATGATTTTGGTGAACAATTGAATTCACCCATTTCAAATTTTTGTTACGATTTTGGTAAACAATAATGACAAAGTGTGTGTTTCATTAAATTCGCAAAATCCGTTTTGAGAACATACTATTTGTTTAAATAGTATTGAGCGCGGAGTCATCAACCTCGCATATCTCTCATCTCAAGATTTTGGTGAACAATTCAATGTACCAACTTCAAATTTTTTTCACGATTCTGATGAAGCATAATAACAACGTGTGCCAAATCATTAAATTAACAAAATTCGTTTTTGAGAACATACTATTTGTATGTTCTCAAAATTTGTAGTATTGAGCGCCGAGCCATCAACCTCATTTATTTTTCACCTTACTATTTTAGTGAACAGTTGAATTTACCAACTTCAAATTTTTGTCACGATTCCAGTGGACTATAGAAACAATGTGCGTCAAGTTTCATCAAATTCGCAAAATCCGTTTTTGAGAATATATCTCACGAAGCCATCAACCTCGCATATCTCTCATCTCACGATTTTTGTGAACTATCACTTAATTTCACTATTAAGAACTATAGTAGGAGCTTTAGGTGGACTAAATAATTCTTCCTCACAAGAAATTATTACTTATTCTTCAATTATACATATTGATTGGATAATCTCTTCAATTATTTCAACAAATTTTAATTTCTTAAAACTGTTTTATATAAATCAATTATTATCAAATTCAATGAATTATATTACAAAAATTATTTTAATAATAATATTTTTATCGATGGAATTTTACTTTCAAAAAATAGAAGTAAACTATACTTAATGACATATATATTATTAACTGCCTTCCTGGAAGCAATATTTAATTGTCATCAAATATACACTTATATATAGAACTACCACACCAATTAACCTGTAACCTTTGAAACATCCACTTATGTGCCAATAACGTTGTTAAGAATTAATTACACCTTCCGTGATGCAAGTTGGAATTGCATCCCTTTGTGATGAAGAAAAGCGAGCAAAATTATAGTAAATTGACTAAATTAATTGACTTTAAAATTAGGATAAAAACCCTAATATTAAAAACAACTAAAAAAAATTAATTTCGTTTTTGAAGATTATTTTATAGGTGATATCCGTTGTTTTAAGATTATTTTGTTAGGTAATTTAACATTTGTCAATATGCTCTTTAATTATTATCAATATATTAATAAAATTGATCAGAACCTTTATTTTCAGTCTAATGATGTAATTATTTGTTATCTGTGTCATATACCTAATAAGTTTGAAATTAATTTTTTGCCACAAATTATTCAAAAAAAAAATTACTTTGTTTATAATTGTATGTATATTTGAGTTTCTTTTTTTCTTTATTATACCAAAATTATAATATAATTTAGTACAGTAATAAAAGGTGAACCACTGGGTTTTCCTTTTATAATTTAATGTTATTTGTCAAACTAATTACTCAATGTCTTTTTATTTAGACAGATTGTAATTTATAAGAAAATAAAATTTTTTTTTTTCAAAAAATAAGATGTACTTATTTATAAAATTGTAAAAATAAATATTCAGCGAATGCAAATAACATGACTAACCATTTTTTTAATTTTTGAACTTCAATCAAAACCTAATTAAAAGTTCTTTAAACTTAAGTTGTGATAAACCTTAAACAACGACGTCTCTTAGGAAGAAATTTCAATAATTCGCCTATCTACACTTGACATATTTTTATTATTAGAATTTTTCCAATACTGATGATCAGAGCCAGGAAAAAGCAATTTTCACTTGGAAACATATATATAGATTTATATTTTCAAGCAAAGACGGATGTCGCTACTGCTTTATATCAGACTGCTCGAGGTGGTACGAATCCTGAAATTGTTGGTGCAGGGCCAAAGCTCTTATCACCAAGCCAACGAATTAACCCAAATTTATTCCAAATTATTTAAGACAGTGTTTCTCAGCCTCTTCATATTATGCCCCACATTAACATTTATAAAAAAAAATTAAGTTTTCACCTTTAAAGGTAGCTTTATTTTAAACTAATATAAAAGATAAATAATAAGAATAAAATACTATGGCTGAGAAAACACTAAATTGGTGTGTTTTTGTTAATTTTGATGCCAATGTTTAGTAGTGCATAAATAAAGTGAATGTTTTAATTCGTACATTTTTTAAATTGCTTCTTTTGGCTAGTGAACCGCACTTTGGCAAGCACTGTTTTAAGTACAATTTAAATATATATATATATATATATATATATATATATATATATATATGTGAGATAACGAAGCTTACTATTTAATATTTGTCTTCTGTCACCTCGACTTACAATGGTATTGGCTGATGTGCATCAATTTTTTTAATTAGCAGAATATTTTACCAGTTACCACCAGTTACTAATTAGTTTTATTTTCTAGCATTCATACGCAGAAAACGCAATGAAAGAAGTACTAGGATGGTATGGATACGAGAGGCAAAACGACATCAAGGACGGTCAACCTCCAAAAAAGATATCAAAGATTGACATGCATTTGAATACCGAGCAGGAGGAAGATCGTCTTCAAGATTCTGGTGAAACATCAATAGACGTTGCTGAAGAAGTGGTCGAGTCCGAATCCAAATCATATACGACAGACACATCTGTCATCATTAAACAAGAACCTCCTGAAGAATTGCGAGTGGAAGAATTAAATGATCAGAAATGGAGAAGTCCTGTGATAGTGAAGAATGAAGTATTTTCGCCGGAAATAGGTTGGTAAAAGATATTTGCAGTAGTTCCTAAGATAAAAGTAAATACTATGTTTCGATATAATAGTTTCTTTTAATGCTGCATTTTTTGAGTTTTTCTTATATTCTGGTGTAAAAACAGAACTATGAAAACAGACTATTTCTTCTGATCCTTGATTTTACCTGACATTGAACTTTTTAAAATAAAACCAAGAAAATTCTACTGGCCAGATTGTCATCTACTGGCATCATAGTGTATGAATGTAAAATATATGTATGTATCCGGGATAGACGACCATCAGAAAACTTGATTTACTCGAAAATGTTGGTAGTGACAATGTTACTATGCTACAGAATTATTTCTATAAATTATTCACTTTATCTTAGAATCAAATTTCTTATCCCATAAAAATTGTGAGATTGCATTTTACCCAAGAGTTGTAAGATTCTTCACATTTTCCTTCATGCAATAAGAGATTTTGTTTTTTATTTACTCTTGTTGTAACTTCCAAACATGATGACTATTAAAAATATTACTGTTTTAAATTTTACTTCTATTAACAACAAGACTACCATAGTTTCAGCGAATAACAATGAATCTAAATTTTACATTCGGATTGTTTTTGAAACTTTTTGAACAATATTTTCTCTGACTTCCTAGAAGAGCTTTTCGCTCGACAAACATATAGAATGGTACTTTTTATTTTGCGCTGTGAAAACAATTGTAATTGAGCTTATCTGCGGGTAAGTTTTATGGAACAATGTAATCCGGCATTGATCGTTATTACAAGTGTAGTACTAAGGACATCAACAAAAGTTGCAACATTTGCGAAACGAAATGCCCTTTTCAATTTTATTATTGATACATTGTTTTTGACGCAGTATTATATATATATATATATATATATATATATAAATCCTCTATAAGTTTTAGTACTTAATATGGTCTTTTAGATAGTGTGCAATTCAATCAGTTTTGTATGGAAATAGCAAGAAATTTTTTTCAAATATTTTAAAAATGTTTTGTAGATATAACATAGCGAACAAATGAATGAGTTTTATTCAAAATTCGATGCTCTTCAAAACAAATTATAAAAAACCTGTTTTGCAGAGCGTCGAATTTTCAATAAAAGATGACACGAATTGTCACCTTTGCTAAATTCATTTGTTGCTAAGCTATACCTAAAAAACATTTTCAAAATTTTTGAAATTTTTTCCATGCTATTTCCCTACCAAAGTTATCTAAAAGTTAATATTAAGAGCTAAAACTTTTAGATAATTTTTTTATCAATTTGGGGAGCAATAAAATTCGAAAATGACCTTTTTTTTTTACATGAGCATTAACATTAAGCAGAGATTGCTAACAATGAATATCTTACAATATAAACCAGAAGATAGTAGCAACACCTAGCGGCGTGTCTACTAGATATAAGGACTAATTATCTATCCTCGAAGTATTTGCCGACATTTTTATTATATGTGCAACTATACCCACGAGAGGCGATTTTCACTTGAGGCTATATTTGAGATCTGTGACCTCAAGTGGAAATTTGACATCAAAGTTGCCTAGTTCCCAAAGTTCCCAAAGGGAATCGAACCAGCGAACCCAGAACTAGTTGCTGCTAGCCCGCGCTCTAACCGATATCGCCACCGCTGGCCCTCCCTAATAGATATATAGGGTAGGACGAGACACAAAAGTCCAAATGCGCAATTATATCGTGAAAACCAAAACAATTATAATAAATAAACTAGTGGGGTGGGTGGCATCGTGCCTTAAGGCAAATTGCTGGAACTTCCCGTACCGTAACGAAACGTTCGAGGAATATTGAATGTTTTCAAATAGATTATTATAAATATTGTATTATTGTCTAATATTTATAATAATTATATAAACTGAATTGCAGAGTTGAAATTATTTGTTTAAAGTATATTAGAACTATAGTCAGAATTAAAAATAAAATCTGAATTATTTTCGATATACAAAAAATTTAAAAAAAAAAAAAAAATGGTACAAATTTTTTTTTTCCAAAATCAATTATTTTGTTAAGACAAGCAGAAAGTTCTTTGAATCAATTGAATCGGACGTTTAGTTCTCACAAAAACTGCCATTTTTTGTACATTTAGCTCTGTATCTCCGAAATGGCTGGGCCTGCCTTTGCGCGAAACTAATAACCCTTTCTCCCAATCATTACTAATGGAATGTTTTTTAGATCATTCAAATCGGATGCTCCGTTCTCTCAAAAACTCGATTTCTATTTTCTGCACTCTTTGCTCCTTATCTCCGTAACTGCTGGACCTGTTTTTGCCAAAAACTAATCAGCTCTTCTCCTTATTAATAGGAATCGAATGTTTTTTAAACCATTCAAATCGGTTGATCCGTACGCCCGAAAACGTGGACGAAAATTTGTATCCATACATACATACACACACACACACACACACACACACACACATCCATTTTTTCTGAGGTATGCCAAAACGTTCAGAAACCTTCAAAACGTCGAGAAATGTAAAAATTTTCAATTCCGATTTTCGGCCCATTACAATAACTTACCCTACGGGAAGTTAACAATATCTGACAATGTTCAGTAAAAATCCGAGCAAACACATCATTCTAGAAATGCGTTTTTTTGCTGTTTTTCAAAAATGCTGAATGGGATATTTCACTCGAAGCTGCCTCTGATACGGTTGACGAATCACGAAAGATACGAGCGCTATTTTACATCTTGATAACAAGATATAACAGAATCGCATTTTTTTCGGATTTTCATTTAGATGTGTTATACAGACACTTTCGTGTGAATTTAATGAATTTACAACTTCATTCCTATAGTGGCTACATTATAATTTTATCATCATCAATACTTTGAAAAATATTTATTAAACATATTAATTAGTAGAAGAAAGCAACGATTGTTCGTGGTGCGGCAAAACGCTGCTCTTTTGTGAAGGCGCAGTGTCGGCTCCAACCGGCGGACGTTACTGCTCCGATACCTGCTTCGCCCAGTCGCGAAGGGCATCATTCAAACGGGCCAAAATATGCGACTGGTGTCGACACATACGGCACACGGTCTCCCAAGAAGATTACCAGGTTAGATTATACACTTAACTATTCAAAATTCTTAGTTCAGAAAAAATAACAAAATTTACTAATATTCAATAACGAATTCTGTCAGGGTGCAACATCTGGGTTACAGTTCTGTTCCGACAAATGTTTGAATCAATACAAAATGCACGTTTTTTGTCGAGAAACACAAACTCAACTAGAACAACATCCACATCTTCGAGCATCCTTAGAACAGACAGCAAGTGCAGCCGCTGGATCGAAGTCAAAAGAAGGTATACTATCCGATAAATCAACTAGTGGCCATGGAATCGTGCCTTAAGGCAAATTGCTGCAACTTCCCGTACCAAAAATTAAAGTTTTTAAAAAAGATTCATTTTTTTAGAACTTTGAAAAAATGGATTTTTGAGATCTTTAAAATTTTTGATTTTTTTTTATTTTTTTATACTTTGAAATAGTTTGAAAATTTTTAAAGCAAACGCGATACGTTAGCTACGTACAAATGAAATATCGAAGCGCGTGAGCGTGGCGTCACGGTATAACGGATAAACGTTGGTACGGAACCATTAGAAATGTGAACAAAATTTGTTCTTATTATTAAAATATCTATGAAATATATGATAATTTGATGTGTATATGTCTAATGATCATTTTTATCCGCCAAATGGCATTTTTTTACCTTTTTTATTGAATCTCCATCAGTTCTTAATTTCGTCAATACAAATAAAATGTTTTCTGAACCATCCAAATCGGACGCTGTGTTCTCTCAAAAATTGAATTGCCTTTTTTGGCACTTTTTGCCCCTTATCTTCGGATCGGCTATCTGCCAAAAGCTAATCAACATGTCTCCTTGTCAATAGGAATCGAATGTTTTTTGAATCATTCAAATCGGTTGATCCGTGTTCTCGAAATCGTGGACGAAAAATTGTATCGGCACATACATACATACACACGCACGCACACACACACACACACACATACATACATCAATTTTTTCTAAGGTATGCCAAAATGATCAAAAACCTCTGAAACGTAAAGATATATAAAAAATTTCATTTTTGATTTTTTTGCGATTAATATAACTTATCCTACGGGAAGTTAATAACTATTATATTATACATGATTATTGTATTTGTAAAATAAATGTGCTTGATATGTCTGTCATAAAGTATAATGAAAAATATTTATAAGTGCAGTTCCATGAATATTTATAAGTGTAGCTACATAAATTAAAAAATGTATTTATTAAGAAAGATTAGCCCTAATAATTTTTTTATTACCAGGTTTGATAACACCAGAGTTATGGATGCATGATTGCCGGGACAATTCATTATCACCATCTACTGATGAGACTGCAAACCAGACAACATCGCCCAACAACCATCAGAATCAAAATTTTGAGCATCTTATAGACCAACACACAAGTCCGACGTTGTTTCAAATATCAGACACAAGAGGTTTAGCAAGTCTACAGCCAGTTTCATTAACTCCACCAGAAGTACCGAGAACATATAATAAAACCCGCGAAAACAAACGCAAAAAATTCTTTGCAAACAATAACATTCCTTTAAGCGATGCCAATTTAAGAAGCAAGACTCCCGCACCTGCTAGTGTAATTTCTTCTGGTGTTAATATAATGAACTCCACACCTGCTAGTTCTGGATCAAGTCCCAATTCAACAGCTCATTTCAGAAGTACAACACCAACGCCGTATTCGATGAGACGAACAGCAACAACTCCAACGCCTGCTTCAAGTGGGACGAATTGCATTCCTTTTAATAATCCTGGATCTCAAATTCCGCCTGCTCATAATTTAAAAACTGTGAGACAGCAGCATGCACAACGGCGTCCTCAGATGCGCCCAAGGTATGGCATGCAACAGCCAATAGTAGGGCCTCCACCAGTTACAGTATTAGTACCTTATCCAGTGGTAATGCCAGTTCCAATGCCAATACCAATACCAATACC